TGGGGGAAGGTCCCCGGGAGTCCACACAGAGAGGCGAAAGCCGATGACCCTTGTTGGGTTCAGGAGTGGGGTGGAATTGACTGCAGACAGGCATGAGGATGATGGCAATGCTTTATAACTGGGTTGTGGGAATGTTTGCAGAATCCTATAAACTTACCAGAAAAAAAAAAATCATTGAATCGTATACTTCCAGTGGTTGAGTTTTATAGAACCTAAATTATATGGCAATAAAACTGTTAAATTGTACTTTGATAGGCTTTTGTTTGGGGGCTGCTGGGAGGGATTGAGGACCCACAGAAAGATTGAAACAGGATGCTTTTCTCCCTCTGGTTTGGGAAACAAGCTCCTGACTGATGCTGTTAACACGTGGAGCTCTTGAACAAAGTCCTCTCTGACTACTCCCTCAGCCTTCACGGGCGGGTATCGCACGGTCCTCGTCTCGTCTGCCAAAATGTTTAACATCGAAGAGCTCATAGCTCACACGTGCAGGTCAGAGGTCTATACACACAGGGAAACCTCACTAATTGGGACATTCGAGTTTAGTTCAAATTAGTAATATATCGGCACGTTTTGCAAAAAGAAGTGAAATTCTAGAATGTCTGCATCAGAAAGAACTTTAAAGGTCGCGTGCTGGAGGACCGACACCATGAAGAATATCTGACAACTATGAAACTCAGACTCTGCACTTTTTTTGACCAGTTCATTGAAAGACATTAAATTATTTCCTTTGACTAGAAAGTTTTATTCTTCGCCGTTCACTCACTCTCTGACCCTAGTGGTGGTCTGAATTTAATTGCGAGTCCCCTTTTCCCCTGGTGTTTAAAACACTCTGTCCCTAATGGTCCTCCCTGTTTACTTTGGGAAACGCTGTGTTCCTAGAAGGCTGCTGAGGGTCGGTCCTGGCCAGGTGTGAGCTCCCGACCCCGAGCCCCTCAGTGCATTCGTCTTGCTGTGCAGCAGGTCCCCAACCCCCCTGGAAACTGCTCGCAACCTGCCAGACCTGAACACGGAGCCAGTGACATCACGGCACCCCTGGGTAAGGCCGTGTGGCTGCTTAGTCGAAGGCTCTTGTCTTCACCCATATTCCTGTGGAGTTTTTCTTCATGATTTTTATCCATCCAAAAGCAGGATGGTTATTTTTAGATGGTTCATAGATTTTTAATGAGGTTTCGAAGTGACCCGTGGTTTGGCTTCATTTATTAATTCATCCACCAACTTCCCCTCCTCCCAGGAGGAAGGGTCCAACATGAAACAGCTCCAGGTGGGAGGGAAAGAGGGATGCTG